TTTGGCTCTCCTAAATATATACAGTTTTCTCAAATTTTTTCGGCAACCTGTTGAGAAAGTTGCCCACGAGAAAAATGAATAAGTAAAAAATAATAATTCAGTTCAAAAAAGTTTCCAAAATTTTGTCATTATAAAACAGTAGTGACAAACCACAGAGTCGTACTAGTGACAAACCACAGAATTTGTCGTCGTACTGCCCTTCACACTCATGGTCATAAAGTAGGCAAAGAAAATGTCATAAAGTTAAAAATTCCAATGAAAAGGGGCTCAAATGGTAGTGATAAAACCATTTTAGTTGAAAGCAAGTTTGAAATCATTGTCAGATGACACAGAGATTAGTGAAAAACATCTCTCAGAACTTTAAAAAAATTACTTTTATTCACGTTCAGTAGATCAAAGTTGGCAAAATATAGAATTGGGACCATTCCTTCAGTCTTTTCAACAAAGAAAAAAACGTTCGAATTACACTTCTCTAAAACCCAATTCAGAGGGGCAATCAAGTGTTATTTAGCTTTATTCCAACTTCAAACCCAGGGAATTTAACACGTTGCATTTGGTGTTATATTTAAAAGAAGACTTCAAATTACGCAACTTTTGGTATCTAATTTGGCCTAAAAATGGACTGCAGCAGTTTGCTGCTGACAACGCAGTTCAGTCGCCTTTTTTGGATCTCCTGAATCCTGTCCTGCTATTTGCCTTTCTAAGGTTTTCCTGATTTTCCTTTTGACCTATTATTTCTCCTTCAATTTTTGTGGTCTAAAGAACACTACGATAACAGAGATCATTTTCTTGTTCTTATTTCCTGATATTACACTTTTTTCAAAATGTACTTCTATTTTATTTATAAGATGAAGAATGATTAATTTTTTATTTCGCTTTTTGTTAGAAAATAGCGGTGTTTCATCTTACAATGTCGTACTGGCAGTGCAGTAGAGCTGTAGGACCAATGAAGAAAATTTTAAAATTGCTTAGTTTCCTTGGTGGTTCACAGTAGGAGTTCTATATAGGCCAGAAATTCCCACCTAGATGACCCTTTAGAGGCGCTAGAAAATGTCATGACGACAGAAGCCATTTAGAAGTTACGGGGTCGATCAGGATTTTCGACAGTAGATACTTGCTCAGGTCAGCGGCACTCACGCGACGTGTCCTCCAAATGAGCGCGGTGCGAAAGCTAAGCACTACTTTGACTGCCCCCCAA